AGGGAACTATGAGCATAGAGAGGGGGTGCAGGAGAGACAAATGCCATCATAGGTGGGCCTGCAACTCAAAATTTCAAAACAAATGAGAGAAAAAGTGCTAAGATAATAGCTTAAAAAAATCAAAATTCAAGAGACTGTCACTTCAGAAACAGTACAAAATAATATATCTAAGATGACCCTAAAATATGTATGTGGCAGATTCTCCAAGTCACAGGAGAAAGGAAGCCACGAAACACAACTGCAGGATGGTATGAAAAACAGCTAGTTCCAAACATGAGGTATTAAAAATGTAATCACTAAAATTAAAGAGTTAAGAAATTGTTTGGTTGAAAGGGACATAGTCAAACAGGGGGTCAGAGTATTTTCTTATTATCATAAAGAACGCATATCAAACAGAAGAGCTGGCAAAATAAAGAGTAAAAAAAAGTTCACAGAAGTTCACACAAAAAAGAATTTAAGAGACAGATGTCAAATAACAAATTTAGGGAGAGAATCTAACTTACCTCTAATAGGAATACTCCAGGAAGTATTGGAGGTACAATACCCAAAGAGGTAAGGTTAGAATATTCTAGTACAATTGGAAGACATGAAGCTTTTGTTGGAAAGTAAATGTGAAACGACAAGCAGGATAAACAAGAATTAATCACTATGTCATCAATGCACTGTAGTGATATAATGTTAGTAGTGTCGTCGTAAACCATAGTAATAATAAATTAGCATTAGATTAAGTAATGAAAAATATTTCACATTTAGAAATATATCAGATGGGACTCCCATCTCCCTATCAAGCCCCATAAATTAAAATGTTCAATATTTTTCTTTTTAAAATAAAGTATTAAATAAAACATTCAAGTAGCAACCATAAATATTTTTGTGCTTTTTCTTGCATTTCTATTGGAATTCAGTTGAAAGAAGTGAGTTTACCACACTTAAAATTAGAAGGCACATTGCCATCTATCTCTGCCAGTCTATCTTTCTAATTTTATTTGTGCTTTTCTTTCGTGATCATTATTCTTATTCTCCTCATCCCATAGCTAACATACTTAACCTATGCCTTTAAATATAACTTTATAAAATATGTACTGTGTTTTGTGGATATTTCCAATTAACCTATACACTATAAATCTCACCCTGTTTTCTACTTTCTTTATCCAAACATCTGGATAGAGGTCTTTTGGTATTGCTGAAACATGCTCATTTATCCTTAATGTTTTATAGTGAATCTTAGTTAATCCACCATATTTAAACATCCATCACATCTCTTAGGGATGGATACTAAGGGTGCCACCAACTCTGTCACCACAAACAATATGATCAATATCCTTGTCCTAATCTCTGTATGCATGTTTCTGAGAACTTCTGAATGATATATGTATATGATGATAGGATCACACAATTAATTTTAAAAAATTATTTCGAGATTATTTTTCATTGTAAGTGAAAACATTCCATACATATTCACCAACACTTGATGTTTCCATCCTTTTTAATTATAGTCTTTCTGACATGAGTAAAGTGATCTCTCACTACTTGAATTTATATGATTATGAAGATGAGAATTTCCTTGTGTACTGTTGAGCTGTGCAGAAGTCCGATTTGTGGTAATCTGTCTCTTTCAATGGTTCATTTTTTTTCTCAAAAGAATTTCAGTCTTTTCCCTGATTAATAGAAATTACTTTTATATAACAGATAACAACCCCTTGTTTTATATTTAGTCAACAGGTTACCCATTCATCAATGTTATCCTTCATTGAAAGAAACCTTACTATTGATAATATCATAACAACTTGATTAATCTCACAGTCTGTGCTTTGGAAGTCTTGCATAAGTTTTTCTACAGTCCACAACTTTACCTACAGTATATAAAGCTATTCTCCTAATTTTTCTCTAAGTAGAAGAAAGGTAGGAAAATAACTTTGTAGGCTATAGTGCTTAATGGCGCAAATTTCACATGATTTGTCTGTAACGTATCTGGAATCTGTCTTTTTATTAGGAATAAGGAAGTCCCAGGCTTATTTATCTCCAATTAGAGAGTCTGTTTTCACTAATATCTTCTAAACATTGATTTTTGGTTCTATTCATAATATATCATGTTTCCACATATGCATGTATCTCTTTCTAAAGTTTCTATATTGTTTCATTTATCTACTTTTCTCTTGCAAAGATGGTTTTATAACTACAGCTTCGCAAAATATCTTACTATCTGACCAATATATTGCGATCACAGGTGTTTAGTTTTCAACATAAAGGTCATTTTTGAGGTCTCAGATGAAAATGAGGAACATGTTATTAGAAACTAAAGAAAAGGCAATCTTAGTTATGAAGTAGCAGAGAACTTGGCTGAATTATGCTTGTATTCCAGTGCTTTGTGGAAGGTAAAACTTGCAAGTGATGAACTTGGATATTTATCTAAGTAGAATTCCTAAGCAAAGTGTTGAAGGAACACCTTATTCTCCCCTGTCTACTGACAGTAAAATTCAAGAAAAGAGAGATGAACTGAAGAAAGAATTGTTAACCAAAAGGAACCAGGCCTTAACTTAAGGATTTGGAAAATTCACAGTCTGCCCATATTGTAAAAAATAGGAAAACATATTCAGGAAAGACCACCAAAGGCATGGCTGGATTATCACTTGGTAAAAAGACTGTGAGATTATATAAACAGAAACACTGCCAGTTTGACTTGAAGGAGATCAAGACAGTATGAAATAAAGAAAAGCTACTGGGCTTCTCAAGTTCTACAGGATAGGGCAATAAAGTTATTTGACTGTGACCATGCACTATTCTTCAAGAAAATGGAAAATGAGCCTGAAAATGCTAAGCTCACAGGTAGAATAAAGTGGTGGTTGCCATAAGCACAGGTTGCAGGATGGGCAAATTAGGGAAGAGTGTCAAAAGGTACAAACTTCCGGTTATAAAGCACACAAATCATGGAGAAGGAACGTATGACATAGTGACTATAGTTAATACACTGTATTGTATATTTGAAAGTTGCTAGAAGAGTCCATCTTAAAAATTCTCAACACAAAAAAGGTTTATAAACTATGTACGGTGACAGATACTAACTAGACTTACTGTAATGATCATTTTGCAATACACACAGGAATTGAATCATTATGTTGTACACCTAAAAGTAATATAATGTTGTGTCAATCAGACCTCAAAAGAAAAAACAAAGAAAGAATGACAAAGACAATTCAAAGATCATGAAGGTCACCAGGTCAGTTTTGACAAGCCAGATGGCCTCTGACTGAAGTTACAGAGCTGGGGTCACCCAAAAGCTTCAGGCATGAACCCTTTCCTGAAAGTCTTGGGAAAATGACTTCCATCTGGCAGAGTTTTGAGGGCATGCCCCTTACTCTGCAGCGCTTCAGGGGGCAGAACTGTTGCCTCAGTGGGTCCACAAGGCAAAGCATTGAACAAAGTTGGATTCCTCTGGGGCTTTATTATCTGATGGAATTCACCGTGCTAGGTTTTGACCTGCGTGTGATTCATCCCTTTCTTCTTTCCTATTTCCCTCTTTTGGAATGGGGATGTCTACACTATGCCTATCTCACCGTTGTATTTTGGATGCACATAGTTTTTTTGGTTTGACAAGTTCACAGCTAGGGAGGAGTTTGCCTCAGATGAATCATACCTGGTGACTCACTCAGACATGATTTTGATTATTTACATGAGACTCTTCTTTAGAATTGACACTGGAAGAGAGTTAATTTTGGGGCTGCTGGAATAGCATGAATATATTTTGCATATGAGAATGACATGAATTTCTTGGTACCAGGAGTAGAATCGATGGACTGAGTTGTGTCCCTCTATAATTCCCATGCTGAAGGCCTAACTCCCAACGTGATGGCAACTGGCTATGAAGCCTTTGGGTACAGCACTATGTTTTGCTGGACTACAGTGGAGTGATTAGTTACTGTTAGTTTTCATTTACATTGAGAGATGACTTTAAGGAGGTCTTAAAGGTGCAACCCTGGTGATGGGGTTAGTGTCCTTATAAAAAGAGGCACCACAGAGCATGCTTCTCTCTCCACCATGTGAGAATACAGTGAGAGAGTGGCCTTCTGCAAGCCAGGCAGAGAGCCCTTGCCAAGAAACCGCATCTTGGTCCTGGACTTCCCAGCTCCAAAAATGTGAGCGATAAAACCCTGCTATCAAAACCATCCAGTCTATGGTATTTTGTTATGACAGCCAGAACTTATAATACAAGTATTTTTCCAAGTTTCTTTGTTTTTGCTTTTTTAAAAATATATAATCATGTTTGTTTTCATTTTTCTTTTCCTGCCATGCACTTGATAGGTTAAATATCCCTTGAGAGTTTTAAATTCGTGCATCTGTCAATTTTTTTTTGCTGGTTGTTACCTCTCCCTCCATTTCATTTTTATTTTTTTTAATTTACCATTATCTCTACCTTTCCAAAAGACAGGATAGGCACTTTAATATATTTTGTTTTCTTCTGGTCCCAAGCCCTCCCACAGTTTTCTCCCACAGCAAGTTCTTTATTTCACTAAATTTAAAAAATGGCATTACAAACTAACAAAGATCTATTTAGGAAAAAATAAACTTTAACTTTTTAAATAAAATGTAGGCAAATATATTTTATGGCCTTAGGATAGGGGAAAATAACCTTAAAAAACGTGAAAGGTAATTTTTTTTGCATTGTGCTAGGTAATGAACGGGAAGCCCAAGCACCAACCGACTGGTTTCTTTTTCTCACTGTTGTGACATTGCGATTAGTAGTTCTGGAAGAATCAAAGGAAGGCTCACCCAACGAGAAACCACGTCTCACTGTGACAAATTCCTAAACCACTCTGGCCACGAGTATTTGGAGACTAACAAGCAAACTGTGAACTCATCTAACGTGAATTCCTCCTCGAGCTGAGACGCCTGGCGGCAGGGAGGGCAAATAAACGTGATAGTTGCCCCTCTGTTTCAAGCTCCTCTCCTCCTCAGGGACACACAGGCTTTCGCAGCAGGCAACTCGCAGGGGAATTACAAACCCGCTCTGAGCCGCCATGTTGGTGACCCGAGGTGACACGCGAAGAGGGCGCCCCCGGGGAGGGCGCGAAGCCCCGGGCCCTGTCCCGCACTCCCTGCCCTAGGGCCTCTTCGGCGGGCTGCTGCTCCTCAGTGTGCGCACGGGCTCACTTCCCCCCCGTCCCTACACACGGACCCGGACATGGTCCCGGAACAGGGCCGGCCGGACAGACAACGCCCGAGCGCCTCCGCCGTGCCGACACCCACGAGAGAACTACAGCTCCCGGCGCGCCAGGCGGGGGCGGCCACCGCACGCGCCTGCGCAGTGGGAGGCTGGCGGCGCCGCGGCTGAGGGCCGCCGAACGTGGGGACGTTGGGCCAATCCAGTTGCCCCAGCTGCTCACGCGCTGTCCCCGGGGGCTCTGCCCGCAGGCCGCGTGCTCTCGCTGGCCCAGCCGCGGCACTGGCAACTCCTTTCAACGCTGGGAACTTTCATTCACATTGAGCACTAGTGCCTATGCTTGCTGGCAATCCTTCAGCAACAGCCAGGGTGATCGGCAGGGAGATGCAGAAGGTGCGCCGGGTCATCCCACAACCAGTCAGCTCCGCACAGTGAACCCGGGACCTCACCAAGCTCAGGACAAGTCCAGGAGTTGGACGCTGACGTGACAAGCGATGGCGATGTGAGGAGGCGTGGCTTCGTAGACACGTGCTCTTGGTGCTGGAGCCTCATACCCACGGCCGCGTGCATCATCCACTGAGCGTGGAGCAAGGACTTCGCATTTAAGCTGCATTTCTGGGTATTTTCTGGCAGGAGAGATGTTCATTATTGAGTCTGTGGTGAATCCGAATCGTCTTCTGTAATGCGTTCTGGGACTGTTGAGTATTTGAGTCTTGTAAAGGACAGTCTGACGTTAAAAAAAACGTTCGCCTTAGTGAAAATTCACCCTTTTGTCAGAAAAATCTATAAACGTGATTTAAAAATACTTTGAGGAATATACCTTGATTGATCAAGACATTCTTGAGAACAAAGATGGGATACGATTTTAACTCTTGTTTCTGAAACAATTCATGATTAACTTCAACAAAGTTTCTTAAATCATCTCAGTTCACTTCAGGGTGGGGAGAATTTCAAGAAGGTAGCCAGCAGATGTCAGGAGAACATCAAAAATGACAAATGTGGCGCCTGGCTTGAGTGGGAGAGCATGCCCCAGAAGTACTTTCCACCGCTGGGTATCAAGTGTTAGCAAAAGAATCAATCATTTACCAAAGAGCCCTCTTACTGATAACTCAAAACGGGTTGCATTTCTGTGCCTATTGATTTACAGAAAGTAAATCAATTCGATCCATTTACTATTCCAGCCATAAGCTCTATCTGCCATGTATTGTGTGCCATTTCCACTAACAGAGGAAAAAAGGAGAACAAAGCTGGATTTGATATCAAACATAGAATCACAGATTGTAAGACCAGTTCTAACTCCTTACTTAAAACTTTTTGAACCGTTTTTTGAAAACCTAGATATATCCTGAAAAGAAGTTCTCAAGAAGAATGGTTTTAAAAAGACTTATGAAAATAACTCCTCTCAAACCAATGTGGATATCTACCTTCAACCAAGAATCAAATACTTCAAGAGCCATTTAATAAATATGGCAGAACCATGTATGCATCTCAGGGCTCAAACCAAAATTACCTTTTCTTGAGAAATAATTGTAAAGAAAAATTCCTGAGACCATCAAAGGAGAGTGTCAAGGTTCCTGGGAGGAGCAATAAGGGACAAGTAAGTGAATTGCAGATAAACTTGTAACATGCAATACAAAGATAATTCTAAAATTTCTGATGTGAATACTCAGTTCTACCAGCTGCCATAAGTAGAGTTAAGTGAGCAGAAATACAACCAAGACTTTAAAGCAGCTTATTGGATTCAGCCTTCCTGTTTCTGGAGTGAATATTCTAGGTAAATGAAGGCTTTGTCCTTAATAAAAGATAAAGACTAAGAAACTTGAGTTAATTATACCTGGAGTGTATGTGAAGACACTTGCTAATTTTGCTTACTGATAGTTTCACTGGTCAGGCCATACCCCAATACTCCTCTTATAAAAATCATTTTAAACTGGTCATCGAAACCTACCAAAACTTTAATTCAAAAGATATGAGTTACTGCAGTACAATATAAGGGCCTAGTAGAGTATCTTTTACAGCTATTGAAATTGTAGCTCCTAACTTCTTCCCTCAGAGAGCAAGAGCGACTGGATTAGTCTACTATAAACAAGTAGCAAAGGAAAAATAAGCAACTTCACCAAAAAAACCTGCTATACTTGTAAAACCCTTGCACCGTCTACGTATCAAGATACTTAAACGTAATTTTAAAGGTTTTGTTTCTTTTGTTGGATTTCCTGTGATAGGTTTTGAACTGTCATATTTCTTTTGCCTGGTTTTGCAAACCAATCTAAACAAAACAGCTGTTCTGGTTCAGAACATTTTATCTTCTGAGAAACATTGAGAAGCAAGCTATTGGGCTAGTGTTCTCTATGACTTAGAAAAATTTTCCTTCCTTTTCATTTCCTTTATTATTCTTTTCTCTGTAACTACACAATCTTTTTTTTTTCCATTTATTTTTTGGTTTATACAGAACAGACTAATAGTATTGTTCAACATATGAAATGCTTTGTATTTCCTTCTATTTTCCCATTCTTCAAAGAAATATTGCAAACTGCTGTGCAAAAAAAAACCCACTCTGGAGTATGGTCTTTATATGAGGGCCAAAAAAATGACACATAAAATACCTAAATCAAAGTTAATTTCTGAGAAAGCCCCTATCAGTGTGCCTTATGAGAAGCAGTAAGTGTGATTTTAGCCCCACCTAGTGTTTTATAGTGGCACCACATCTTGAAAATGAAAACTAATCCCTCACGGGCAAGAATCATAGATTTGGCAGCTAGAGCACAAGGTTGGACACTGATTCAAAGCAAGTGCAAAGGGATATTACTGTGTTTCCTAGTTACTGTCTTGAAAACCAGCCATGCAGCAGAATCCATTCTTACAGCGAAGGGATTTGTCAAATGTTTGCAGGGTCAATGAGTAGAAGTACTCATTCATAAATCAAAAAATAAGAAGGTTTTAAATGATAGAAATTCTGATTTGGTTGACATAAGAATGGGATGTTGATGGAAGTTAGGATAGCAGTAATACCTGGTAATAAGAAAGTTCACACTTACCTAAAGATAATTTACATATGCATGAATGAAGTCATGTTTAAGTGAAAGATTTCAATATACCCATTTTGGAACTGGATTGAAATAGTGCATAAAAAAACAAAGACATAGAGCCTATGAATAATGTATTCAGCATATTGGATTAAATAACTATGACTATATATGGGGGGAGCTTAAATTTACTAGAGAATAATTTTTATTGTTTATCTATGGAACATTTACAAAAACTAATAATGCACTTAGCTAAAATGAGAATCTGAAATACAAAAAGTAAAGTTTTTTTATATCACATTCCCATAATACAGTATAACTTGAAAAATTTTTAATCATAATTATTTGAGAATTAAGAAGCACACTTAACTCTTAAATCAAAGGTAATGGAAAAATAAAATGTACATTAAAAATAGTGAAGAGTATATAATAGAACCTACAGGATAAAGGAAAAAAGATTGATAAAAAATTGTACCATTACAATACTCCATTATTAATGAAGAATGATTAAAAGTAAAGGAGTTAGTATTTACCTTAAATTGTTAGAAAACTAATGGAATAACAATCTCAAATGAGGAAAGAGAATTAGTAAAGATGAAAAGGACTAATTTGCTTAAAAATATTTTATTAAGAAGCAATACTATAAAACAAAAACATGCCTCGGGTTTATTTATTTATTATTATAGGATAGTCAAATACAATATTCTATTGGTTTCAGATTTACAATATACTGATTCAACAATTACATACATTACGAAATACTTGCCATGATAAGCGTGGTTATCTTCTGTCAGCATAGAAAGGTAGTACAGTATTATTCACTGTATTCCCTATGCTGTACTTCTTATCCCCTTGACTTATTTATTTTAAAATTAGAAATGTGGACCTCTTCATCCCCTTCACCTTTTTTGCCCATCCTTCCACCCCTTCTCCCCATTGCAATCACCAGTATTTCTGTTTTGTTTTCCTGTTTGTTTTAGATTCACAAATAAGTGATGATATGGTCTCTCTCTGACTTACTTCATGTAGCATAATACCCTCTAGGTCCATCTGTGTTGTAACAAATGGCAAGATTTCATTCTTTTTTTTATTAAGTTATCATTGATATACAATCTCATGAAGGTTTCACATGAGCAACACTAAGGTTCCTGCCTTCACTCACATTATCAAGTCCCACACACGCACCCCCTTGCAGTCACTGTCTGTCAGCATAGTAAGATGCCATAGAATCACTACTTGTCTTCTCTGCGTTATATTGCCTTCTGCATGACCCCCCCTACATCATGTGTACTAATCATAATGCCCCTTAATCCCCTTCTTCCTCCCTTCCCACCAACCTTCCCGAGCCCCTTCCCCTTGGTAACCTCTAGACCCTTTTTGGAGTCTGAGTCTGCTGCTGTTTTGTTCCTTCAGTTTTACTTTGTTGTTATACTCCACAAATGAGGGAAATCATTTGGTGCTTGTCTTTCTCCACCTGGCTTATTTCACTGAGCATAATACCCTCTAGCTCCATCCATGTTGTTGCGAATGGTAGGATTTGTTTTCTTCTTTATGGCTGAATAATATTGCATTGTGTATATGTACCACAGCAAGATTTCATTCTTTTTATGGCTGAGTAATACTTTATGGCTTGTATATACACACCACGTCTTTATCCATTCACTTAGACATTTCTGTTGCTTCCGTATCTTGGCTGTTGTAAATACTGCTGCAGTAAACATAGGGGAATTTGTATTTTTGTTTTCTCTGGGTAAATATCCAGAAATGAAATTACTGGGGTATATGGTATTTCTATTTTTAATTTTTTGAGGTACCTCTGTATTGTTCTCCATAGTAACTGCACCAATTTACATTCTGAACAACAAACAGTACATGAGGGTTCCCTTTTCTGTATATCCTGTCCAACACTTGTTATTTCTTATCTTTTTGATATCAGCTAATGTGATTGGTGTGAAGTGATACCTCATTGTTTGTATTTCTCTGATGATTAGTGATGGTGAGCATGTTTTCATGTGTCTGTTGGTCATCTGTATGTCATCTTTA